ACACACACACACACACACACACACACACACACACATACACACACCTGCTCCACAATATAAAAACAAAGCATTTATTTTTTAAAATGGCAGACACCATTGTTGTCGTCGTCGTTGTTGTTGTTGTGTTGTTGCTGTTGTTGTTGTTGTTGTTGTTGTTGCTGCTGTTGTTGTTGTTTCAGTTTTCTTTTAAATACTTAAGACTAAAATCCATCGACGTAGTCACTTGTTACATGTACAACAACTGAGGCTGCTATGACAGTGTGAGTTACACCTAAGACCTGCTTTACGGCATTTACATCGCCTTGAACCCCAGAATGCTCCGTGCATCATCAATGAGAACATGATGCTAAAAAGCGTTGGTGTCAACACTACAGTCCTGCTTCATCTCATTTGCCACACAAAAGGCTTCAGACATACCACCATATTAATTTCAGAACAAGTGTTCAAGAGACTTTAATTACAGGCAACATTTTTTTATAGCCTAGCATTCTCAAGTGACCCAGTTTATATCAATTTAATCGGATTAAAAAAATATTAAAGGGATACCGGTAGGCCCTGCACCGAAGCACCGAGACCAAGAACCAGGCAAGAATTATATGAAGCTTGCAAGCTTGTGCCTTCAAAATATAAGCACCCCCCGCCCTCCCCCCTTTTCCCTCACCTCGAAATAATAAAACAGCTGAAAAAAACAAACAAAACACTACAGGTCTATAATGTCGTAAGCTATAGAGTTGACGTTGGGCCAAGTTCTATGATTTGTAATTAGGTTATTTGGACCTGGTGCGTTGGATTGAAGGATGATGAGTATAGGCTATAGGCCTATAATTATCCCTCTTGGGAAAAAAAGTGGGAGGATCGAGACAGTCAGAGAGGTTACAGACACTAAAGAGAGCGTTTCCGTAATTGCTTGTGACTAGTTAAATGCAATGTTCAGAACAAACGTTGAAGGCCATGAAAATAAAAGAAGTTATAGTAACAATTAAGATCAAGAGACTGGTCTACGGCCTTCCACTTTTATTTATCTAAATGCTGGACTCGAAGCTTTTTTTTTCAAGTCTTTCTGATAAGTGAAAAGGAAGTCGACAGGCCTTCCTGGGTTCTATTTCTGGTATATTATTACAAGAACCCGGTAGTGCTGTGACTGTGTGGGCCACGTCACTATAAATTTTATATGATCATGCGAGAGATATCGTGATCTAGCCTACCCTTCGCGATAGCTCCCCCCCTCCCTAACTAGAATCCAGTAACTGGAACTTGGGTGATCACTGATCCAACCACAACGCAAATCGGAAATCGGACCACCTTGTCTTCCAGATTGGGAAGTGAATTTGAAACGGTTTGACGACAACAAAAAGTGAGCTAAATTATGCCTATTCAGTTATCTAATTCAACAAAGAAACCAACAATATCATAAAATGATAGTTTCACTTTTCAGTGTTTGTCAGTTGGGTGAAGCGTTCGATTTTCTAATTACGTTTGTTTGCGCCGGGAACGGCATATTCTAGCAAGAAATTCTGGAGTATAAATCGTTTTGTCTATTTACCGAAACATGGACAGCCACAAATTTGGTGCGATTGGCGAGAGAGACCCAAGGTGTACAATCTGAAGTTCTGTCGTTTATTAAAAAAGCTCACACATTCGATAGAGATTGTACCTAAGATAATAACTGTTGGATTAAGGCTAGAGACAGAGATATAGAGAGAGAAAGAGAGAGAGAGAGAGATAGAAAGAGAGAGAGATAGAGATAGAGAGAGAGGGAGAGAGAGAGAAAGCTTATGGATAGAGCCAAATTAGCAGGAGTGTGAGGTACAAACATACGATGATCACTGTGCTTTTTTGTTATTTTAGATATCCAAAGAGACATTGGACTTAGGGAGACAAAACATGTTCATATTCTATTTTTAGTTGCTTTTTTTTACCGACGTATGTTTCACTAGGCCTAGGCCTACTGCCTTCCTTTTTAGCTGATGTATTTTAATGACACTTATAAACTGTCTCCAATTAAATTGTGTAATATATTTGTAGGTCTATTTGTTTTCTCTAAATGAGAGATGTTGGCATCGGTGAGAATTTCCGTTAGATTTTTGTTCTTTTCGGTCAACTTTGGTGCTTTTCGGAATTTATGGGAGATAACCACCGTTGTAACTGCAAACCTGGGAGGGTTGTGTTTTTGTGGTTCACAGTTCACGCGGAGTGACGCAAATACTACCAATGGTGACGACTGCTAGACTGCCTTACGGAATGGCTTAACTCCATGTCAAACAATTCTGTTTGAGAGAAAACTTGTAAGTAAAACTGTTTAATTTTCTTTGTAGAATCTATTGTGAGATGAATTGATAGTTATCACTCGAGAACACACGTAGCTTAGAGACCGACCCGTGTCTTTTCCTGTAGACTGCAGTAGTGTAGCCAAGTTGTGTACCGCCAATGCCGTTACTACTTCCACTTCATGTCATGTGTGTACACTGCACTGTTGTGAGCTACGATACACCTCACACACATGACTACTGATAACTGAGAGAGTGCTAAAATGTAAAGACAGGGCCCAGGTAAGCCGAATTTAGATCGAGGGGTTGGCTAGTAAGAAAGTAAAATGCGGATTACTTTTAGTACTTTCTATTAGACACTTTAGAAGAATTGGAATAATATAAGAAGATCTTTGTTGAGCTTTAGTTTAGTACTCATTCATTGACAATTGTACTGAATAATAACTTAAGTAATAGATCTAGATCTAGTCTGAATTAGTAATACCCTAAGGCTTCAATACCGCCTAATGACCTAACCCTAGTCGTGGAGGAGCTGAAGACTGAATTAAATCTGGGGCTGCGGTAGATCTATTCTATTAACCCCTTTCTGCCAATCTACCGGTACAGAACGTTTTATTCCTACCTTTACTGTTCTATTACCCTCGAACCAGCAAGGCAAATGTGAATAAATTACATCATGTTTCAGACGAATGAGTCGAATGGGAAGGTTGCTGACCTACCTGATCCTATTTATAATTTTCTTGTGCTCTCATACTACCCTACTTCACTTCAGTGTAACTTAAGACTCCGCAGTATGTCAAGTCACGTCACTTTTCAAAATGATGTAAATGGCAGAGTTTTACACAAAGTCACAAGAAAGGAGTCGATATGAAGTTAGACGGGTGATTTACATTGTCTAAAAATAGAGAGGTTTATATGTCCATAGCCATAGATTTCGAGTAAACTAAATGTTTTTCTAACCATTTGCCAGTGCCACTGATACTGACTTATCAAAATTGCCTCTTTGCCTAAATCAACTATTTTTAAAAAGTAAATTGCTGCATAAATAAAGTGATCAGTTTAGATGATGTTGGCGGCCTGGCAATGGATATGCTCGTCAAATAATTTTACATTGTTGGTGGTAAAGATTATAATTGTTAAGGCACGGTGTCTAACAACTAACAAATGACCATACACATTGATTTGATGGCCAGCAGTTGCATGCATTTTCAGATCAAAGATTGGAGGGTAGATAGGCAGTGATGGTGTTATGGGACTGGGACGTTATGACAGTGATGAACGAACGTGCAATTACATTGAGATCATGAAAGTTTTCATAGTGATTTATTGAACGAAATTCATGTCAAAATGTAATTTTATAATTTATAAACTAATCCTTGTCACAAGTCTCAGGCCTATATAAACTGGTAAACCGTCTACTTGACCAGTTATCAGACCGGTCTGGTGGTAGACCATTAAGTACTTCCTGGGGCGGTGCAACTGGCTGAAGTGTCTTTAGGCCATTCCCCCCCCCCCCCCCAAAAGGGGGGGGGGGCATTTAAACATCTCCTGTTCTTATGCACAGTAGAATTGTAATTGTAAATGGGCTGATTCATCAATGTCATGCTCATAACTGTGCCTGAACTGCAACAGGGAACTGCTGCTTTTTCTTTCCTAATCCTTACTATCGTCATTTTTCCTCTACCTCTTTTGTATGTTTGTCTCACTCTTGTGGCTTGCTATTTCCTGGGTGCCTTGATAGTCGAAGCAGACTTTTTGCTGTTGAAGCTAGAGAGGTGAGCTGAGTAAGTCTGATTCCCTGTTTACAAGGACTTCTCTGTTGACATCCACCCGTTAGCGCTCATAATATGACCTTATACATGCGGTTGCAAGCGCCGTAAAACCTCTACTAAAACAAAGACCATTAAGTAGTAGACCTGAAATATTGTTGTAGACTGTCGATTTAACCAACTGACAGATGGGTCCGATGGTAGATCATCAATTTGAGGAGAAACATCACAGTAAACGGTCAACTAAACCAACACCCCAGCAACTTTGCTGCTGATGTTGGGGCAGATGCAGCTCCTGAAGATGAAATTTAAGCGGCAGTATCCTCCCAGAGTTATCAAGATTTATATTATGAGGCATTCGAGGCGATACTTTTGAATCATTTCTGAGTAACAATATTTTTTGTTGAGTTATCTTTTACCAACCGAAGATTAGTTAAGACTCTTTCTCCCAACTCTCTAATTTTACCTCTGAAACCAGGTGACCCCAACCTCCTTCATTTGCAAATATATCTTGACTTGTATTCAAGATAAATGGATATTTTTTTCATCCAAATAAAGACAAGTAAACAAGCTTTAAGATGATACCAATATAACTCCACATGCCCAAATATTGACGAGAGCCTGATTCCACCACGATGCCTCACAAATATATTTTCAAATGGACATACAAGGTTAATAAAAAAAATATTTGCCCCATAGATGGAAAAAGTCAAACTTTTCTATGTCATAATTTTGAGGAGCATCTGATTTCACCAAGATGTCACACAATGAAGTAGATTAAATGATGATGATGAGAATCTCTATGAAAGTAGAAAACAGTGACGATGCTGTTCGTTTTCATTTTATGTTCCGATTTTAGCACACATACTCAATTTCCCTCTCCGAAGGTTATCCTGAGGGGCAGGACACAACCCTCTTTTGAAGCTTCTCTTATTGTGTACTGAAAGGCTTTTCTTCATATCCAGAATGTACCATTTGAACAAGAAGTTTTATATTTCTGTAGTAGTAACAATTACAATAGCACTGTGCGATGGTGATAAACCTTGGCAAACTTTGTGTAGTGCAGGGCATTATCTCTAATATTATAGTGATAAGGACAAGTGCTGATAGGATGATCACGCACTTTAATTAATGAAGTACATCGTAATTTGTGTTGCAAATTTATTAGCTTCTTCTTGTCCTTACGTCCTTTCTCAAAGTTCGAAATGCAGCAGTTTTTGCATCTCTGTATAATTAGGAGGCTACTCTTCAAACCTGTGCATGTGGGTGGTTGGCGGGTGCTCTGGAGTGGTTTGCTTCTTCTTTCACTGTCAAACATCTATCGTCTTTATCTCCCCTCCTTCTTTTTGTGTGTTTGTTACTCACTTGTAACAATCTCTAATCTTCGGCACTTATATGACCTTATTGTGTTGCAAGTGCCGTAAAACTCTAACTAGAACTAAAACCTTTACATACATCCATTAGCTGTGGTACATGTATATAAAATTTATTATTATATGTGGTTGTTCAGGGGTTCGAGCCTCAGCCCGGTCCGACGTTGTGTCCTTGGGAAAGGCACTACACGAACTTCCCTCTTGGATCGGTCCTATCGGAGACGGACGTTAAACTAGGAGGTCTCGCCCCTTAAATAACCTAATAGTGTTGATAGGGCGTTAAGCCCATACCATTTTTTTCACCACGGAAACGTAATGGAGCTTTAGGAAGTACAGAGGGCTCTCGTCATATTATGAATAGATTGGTCTTCCAGGATTGAAATATAAGACAAAGTGCAGAGGTCATGGGCAGATTAGATACTAGACACTCACTTTATTTTTCACTTTTCTGTCAGTTTAAATTCCACCTGATGTGCATATTAGGTTGTCATGATGGATATATTATACAAGGGAAGTGCATTCATTTCCTGTTATCTGGATGTTGTTTTTAGTTTCGATTTGGTCAAAAGTCTTTATTGTTTTCCTAAAAATGTTCTTCAGATTTTCATTTTTGAAAGCTTGTCGTCTGACTTTTAATTCATTTTATTAGTTCAGAAAATTATGTCTGTCAGAAAGTGTGGAATCCAAGAAGAAAGAAGAGGATGTAGTACGGAATTTAAAAAAAAAAAATCTCTGAAAATGTGAAAGCCACAATCTGGCAAAGCTGTTCCTTTAGTGATAGAATAAATGGCGTGATTCATGACAAATAGACTGTAACTATAAATATTAACCCGCAAGCAGTTCTAAAATGTTACCAGCTACCTTAAAACTTTCCTCTATTGTTTGGCACAACGAAGTATTAAACATTGAATTGGTGTCCCTAAGATTTAGCGTCTAGAGAAATGTTCCCTTGTTCAACACTAAATTGATTATTTGTTTATGTTTTTTCATACTCCAAATGCATGCTTCAACTCCCACACAAAATTTTTCTAGGAATATGGAAAAGAATCTTTGAATTTGGACAGTGTGTTTGGTTCACATGAAAGTCAGATATATGCATGGTTAAGTCTGATAGTTTTTTCAAGGTTTGGTGTGAATATTTTTTGAAGATAATGATAATAATAATAAAAAAAAAATAATTACAATTATTAGTTATAAAAGGGGTTTCATTTACATAAGTATAGTTAAAAAAACAACAACCCGTCAGTGCCAGAGAAATAGGACGTCTAGCTGTAAAGATTGTTTGTTTTTGTAAAGTGTTTTACGGCGCTCGCAACTGCATAAGGTCATATGAGCGCAAGGGACACAGCTAATATTTTCAGTTGGTAGGAAATTTTGAATTTTGCCCGGGTGGCGGCCGAAGCCTACTCTAATCGATTTTAGACCACCAAGGGATCTTTAACGTGCGCAACTTGCACACGGGCCCTCCAAGATTTTTTCGCCCTTGTCCGAGAAGGCTAGGTGTAGATCTTTCCTACCAGAAGATCAGGGGTGTGGCTGAAAGACAGCCGTAAGAAGAAGCGAAGGAGTAGCAGTAGAAAGGCTGCAGAAAGAATCAGGAGCCCAGAGGAAGGGGCAAAGGAGGTGAGGGGGTGAGGGCAGAAAGAGGAGACGAAAGCAGACGACAGAACATTGCTAGAGAGCAGGAAATGAGGTGAAAGTAGACAAATTTAGAGAAGAAAATTTTTCGGTCGCTACCCGGATTCGAACCTGGGACCTTTTGAATGAGAGGCCAACACCTTAACATCTAGGTCACGAGAGCCCCCTGGATTTGCTCTGACAGGCAGAGTCGAATCCGGCTTCCAAATGGTCTAAATCGTATCCATGGGGGCTTAGA